TTCAATATCACTACTGGTTCAGAAAATACAGAATTTTGGTCGGCTGATACTGTTTTGGAACACTGGGTGTCGTAAGTAGATGTCATTCTGAGAGCGTGCATTACCTACCTAAGTTATAGACTAACACAAATGATGAATTAAAGCATTAGTTATTTTATAAAACTTAAAATTTTAGTGTCAAAGTTTTTTAAATTTATAAATGAAATCATTGTTTTCTATGAGATATAGTTACGGATGCAGGGTATCTATGAAGGAACAGCACCTATATCATGATATACCACTCAATACAAAAATAACTAATAGTAGTTGATAACTCCAAAAAATAAACTCTGTGCTTGTGAAATCCCGTTGGTGGGTGTTACACGACACTTGGTCCTTGGAATTGACGAATGGCTCTGGGACAGAGACGCGTCCGCTTTTGGAACCAAAGATTTTTACTGTTTTTTTACTGTCTTTTTTACTGTCAATTATATTTTTAAAGTAATATATGTGTGATACTATAATTAGTTTATTATACAAGTCATTATGATTTTTCTTCACTAAAAACTTAATAAGGTTAGTAAGTAGGCTGTATTATGTATATAGGGCTAACTGCCGAAAGTAAGTTAACGTTTTTTATAACACAGGTGGGTACTTTTGTAGTACAGTTTTATGAAAAATAAATTTAAATATATAATTGATGAAAAAATTGCCACAAGTAAATAATTACTAATTAACAAAACTAAGTGTATGACGGGCATTGAATCTGATATAATTATTCAGATAAGTGTATATATATTATTTTTTCAATATCGCGATTTTCTGTTCAATTTAAATGACTAAAAGCATTTTAGTTCGTTTATTATATTTGAATTGTAAAAATGGATATTTTGTGCTTTCTTATTTACATATTATTTTTGACAAAAGGTTATAATACTTACAAAATAAAAGTAAGAATATTAAATATTTAAATGTTTCTACTATTATTTACTATAGTAAATATTCCGTAAATGTTGAATTGATTTTTAACACGCGTTTTGACAAAAGAAATTAAATTCTGTAAACTATTAATTTCAATAGAGAGGTTTTTTTATCGAACAGTAGTGAAATTGCAACAACAAATATTTTTATAATATTTTTAATTAATTGTAAATATCAACTTTGAATATTGTAAACATTATTTTGTTGTATTAAAATCACTTTTAATTTGCATTAAAAATTTTTTTCTAGAGAAAGTCTAAAGTACAATACGCTCGAGAGTAGTCATACATATTTAACATTTTCTCCGGTTATAAATATCAATAGATTTTTGGTATATTATATCTAATTTGGTAATCAAGACAGATAGGAATACTCCAATAACTTAAAAAAAATATTGACAATTATATTTTAATACATGAAAATCTAAAACAACGTCATTTTCAGTTAATTTATTCCAGTTCGATTTTTAAAAAAACATACTATAACAATACCTAATACAATATTAATATAGATCTAAAATTAATAAAATAAAATCTGATTACTTTACTGATATGAATATCATTGAATATCCCTATTTTGTTGAACAAACGTTGGAGTTAGAGCACTGATCCAAGCAATTTATACGAAATCAAGAAACGTCATGTTTGCTCTGCATATATCTCCTTCCATTTCCATTTCCATACCCCTCGGTATTCAAAGTGGCTTAAAGACTGGCTTTAAAGACTCTTTCGATTGTGGGTTTCGAGATTTTACAAGTTATGCTTATACTCTCATTACTACACTTTTCATATTTGTTATTGTCTGCCATTTATATTCTGAGCTTAACATTTGTGCTACAAGGGTATCACTGGTAGGGATCTCTCCAAGAACAGTATTTGGGCTTTGCCTCACTCCGCTCTATCTTACATATTTAAAGAATATGTGATGTTGCTCCACAGCAATGTCGTTTCTATAAAGTAAGGATCGTGTTTGTGTTCAATTCTATGTAGTTATAACTTAAAGCAGTAAAAGTCTATGTACCCATGATTCCCACTGTTTGAAATATGATATGATTTTTTTTTGTCCATTTACCATTAATAGTTTGCTGCGTTTATCTTTGACATTTCATCGTGTTAACAATTTTGGCTTCTTTACGCTATTACTTGTCAGAGAGTCACTTGCCGGTAGGTCTATGGATATAACTTCAGAACAATTATGACTTAAGTATAAAATTCAACATTTGTTCGATTGGGTAGTGTTTCTTAGCGAGACCTGTCGATTATTTCTGAGAAATGTGTATTGTACTTCTTTTTAAAATTGATTAGTTTTTAGTCCTGTTAGATATTTATGTTAAATCAATTATTTTTATTTGTATTTCAATAAAGTATAAAAGCCAATAATCTGATTGTCAGTCAGATTTAATAGTACTTATTTTTGCAAATTTGATTTAGTCGTACAACATGATTATTTAAACCTAACAAAAGGAAGTCAAGGAAACTAATTTTATTTAAAAATTTGGCGCCATTGCCGAACTTCTATTATACGTCAATATAACTTTTTCCTCGAGATATTGAGATTGGTAGATATTGAATCTAAAACTTTATATCTTGATATCTAACAAGGAACTAAACTATACTAACACAAGGCTTAGTGAAAAAAATTTTTTAGAGTAGTACAAATTCCGTTGTCAACTGATAGTGTCCGGGAAATTGGAATCTTGATCAAAAAAATATATAATACATGCATTGTTTCCATATTAATGCTATTTACTATATTTAACCCTTGCTAGGTAGTCACCTTGTCGTGGTGTAGGGGCTTATTGTGGACTGAAGCATGTCATATGGAAGTCATGACATGATGATTTTTCATGTGACATGATTCAGCACACAAACTAAGAACTGCCGCCAACGCACAGGTTGAAAGTAGGTATCTACGATTCCTGATCAGTCGTTGAGGCTAGCTAGTGGACTTTAATGGACACTTGCTAATTGGTCAGTCCTATAGGAAAGTGCGGCTATCTATCAGACCAATGACTCGCCTTCAGTACAGTCATGTCTCTGCTGTTTGTGGGTCGCCGATAGTCGGGCGGGGGAGAAGGAAAACTCCCTAGGGCAGGGTCTGTACATATTCTAGGCTCCCAAGGCTAGGTCTTGATAGACTGGAATATGAACATACCTATTGCCCCAAACAAACCCCCTAAACTCACAGTGGAACAGCTATGCTGGTGAACTTGCTTGACAGGGTAGAGTCAAGCTTAATAGCGAACTCCGTACCAGGTCTGGCAAACCTACGGTTTCAATTTGTCCTTCCCATGGGGGCGCTCATGGGTGACCAACCTGCACGGTTTATTTAAACTTACTTTGTATGGAACAAAATAACATTTTCAATTCTATGGACTGCACACCTTTAAATGTGCAAAATATGGTTTTACAAAGCCAAAACTTATCACTGAACGAGGGGGCACCTGGTACCATCGTCAGTGAACATATGGACCACGACTTGTTGGAGAGGGCATCTGGTCCTCTACCCGACAAGCCGGAGGAAATGGACATTCCACTTAGCCAAGAGTCGGCTGGGATGTCTATCTCCTCGGAACAGGAGAGAGATCTTCTGGAGCCTGGTCTAACTAAAAAGACTCAAACGAGGGTGAAGCTATCCGGCGCTGGACGCAAAAGGTTGAAGGCTTTACTTGCCAAGGGCATCCCGCTGGAAACAGCAAGGTCCTTGGCAGTAAAGCCGGCCACTGCGACTAACGAAGGGCAGGCAACACCAAAAAGATCCCGATCGGACAGCTCTACACCAACATCTAGCTCAAAACCGACAAAGCGGATTGCACTACAGGGCAAGAAAGTTGATAATAAATCAATAGTGCCTGCAACTGCTTTGCCGATTTTCAGTAGGATGAAGGAAGTAGAGACCTCACACGGGGGCAAACCTGGTCCCAGTAAAGAGGTGGCGACGGTATCTGTGGGGCAGGCTAAATACAGTACTTCTTCCGAAGACCATTGTTCAAAGCCTACCCTAGCAGAGACTGTTCGCTCTAAGAAGATCGGTATACTACCGCATAATTTCCCAGAGGGCATTTGGTCCAATGAGGAAATTGGCAAGGTGCAGAAATGCATCCTCGACAAGATGTACGAAACTTGTCGAGCTCCTGGGGTGAAGCCTCATTTCGCCGGTTACAGTCTAAAGCCCGGATGGTTTACCATTAATTGTCTGGACGACGAGACTGTAACTTGGTCTAAAGAGACAATCCCAGCCTTGAAGCCGTGGGAAGGAGCCCAGCTGAAGGTAGTGGACGAGGCAGAAGTGCCAAAGTCTGAAATCTATGTTGGCTACTTCCCAGGCTCAGCTTCCTGGCAAAGCGACCGTATTCTGGGACAAATTGAGTGCCAAAATTCGGGCATGCGTGTCAGGGACTGGCGGGTACTCCACAGGCTCAATAAGGGCGATATCGTCGAGATGGCGATTGCTCTGGATCCTATGTCGTCCGAAATGGTCGGAAAGCTGGGCAATAAAGTCTTCTATGGACTTAGCAGTGCCGTGCTGAGACCAAGACATAAAGGAAACAGAGCAAAGGAAGTGGTTGAAGATGAGCGACCAACAACATCTGCGGCTTGTGCTCAGTCAAGCAACCAGAAGCCGAAAACGGGTCTCAATTCCGGGGGACCACCCTTGAGAGGGGGCAGAATCCGTGCCCAGGGCCGAAAACCTTCCGCTCTCTCTGGTCGTCTGAGGAAATGGGAAAGAAAAGACCCGGAGGCCGCGGAATTGCTGCGCGGTACAAAGGGCGGCAAGGTCCGCAAGGGCCAGTCTGGGATATAATGTCCCGGACTCCGCCACATCCGCAAAACTCTTGGAGGCAACTTCATTGCCTCCAAATCAACCTCCACCGGGCTATAGCAGCTTCATACAGGCTCAGTGCCCTGGTGGAACAACACTGTCTGGATTTTGTGGCCATCCAAGAACCATGGGCCACAAAGGGGCGCATAAACGGTCTACAGACAAAAACGTGTAAGTTAATCTATGATAATAATGTTGATCGTCCTAGAACGGCGATAATGATTAACAAAACCATTAAATCTCTTCCAATTACAGAGCTTATACAGCGTGATCTGGTGGCGGTACAGGCAGAAGTGCCTAGTACTAGGGGGACGAGAATAATAGTTTTTGCATCTCTGTACCTCCCTGGCGACGCAGAGGAAGCGGTGTCTCTCGAGCTCCAGCAGCTTACAGAATACTGCCGTATCCGAAACCTACAGTGGGTAATGTGCTGCGACGCCAACGCACACCATACAGTATGGGGAAGCACAGACATCAATACACGAGGTGAGTCACTTTTTGATTATATCACAACTAACAATTTAATGGTAGTTAATAAAGGTAACGAACCTACTTTTGTAAATGCGATAAGGGAAGAGGTATTAGATCTCACTTTAGCAAGTACATTTATATCAAATAACATTTCAAATTGGAGGGTGTTAGAGGAGAACTCCTTATCAGATCACAAATATATACGCTTTGATTTGGAAGGGGAAGTTGAAGACACTTTCGAAATAAGAAATGTTAGGAAGACCAACTGGTCTCTATATAACTTCTATTTAGAACAAAACATTAGTTGTCTTGGGAATAGGATTACTAATTGTCAGGAACTAAATCTTGAGGTTAACAAACTAGAAAATATTATTACAGGGGCTTTTGAAAATAGCTGCGAACTTATCAAAAAGAAACGTTCTAGGAACGTCCCATGGTGGAATAGGGAACTAGATATTTTACGCAAAAAAGCCCGCCAGCTCCTTAATAGAGCCAAGTCCAATGGGGACTGGGCATCTTACAAGTGTGCCTTAACGGCTTACAATAGGGAATTGAGGAAATCAAAGAGGGAATCATGGAGGAGGCACTGCGAGGAGATTGAAACACTTCCTGCGGCTGCGAGACTCCAGAAATCTCTAAATAAAGACCACTCAAATAGCCTCTCTACATTAAAGAAGGCTGACGGAAGCATTACGGTAAGTCTGGAAGAAACGGGACAGCTTTTGCTGGACACTCATTTTCCAGGCTGCGCCATGTATACTGAGACTACGGAAACCATCGAGGATACTCGTTTCTTATTGGTTACACGAAGAGATCTTTCACTGGCCCGTAAAATCTTTACAGTCAATAAAACTAAATGGGCCATTTCCACTTTCAGCCCGTTTAAATCACCTGGTATCGATAATATACAACCGTGCCTTCTTCAGAAACGCGTTGATATATTAGCACCGATATTAACAAACTTATTTAGGATAAGTCTAGAATTAGGCGTAATACCTAAACATTGGACGAAGGCTAGGGTAGCTTTCATACCGAAAGCAGGCAAAAAGGCGGACCACACGCCAAAAGCTTTTCGGCCCATTAGCCTTACTTCTTTCCTGCTTAAAGCAATGGAGAAGATTCTAGATCAATACATCAGGGAAGTCTATATTAAAACTTCACCTCTACATATTGAACAGTATGCTTATTAGTCGGGCAAATCGACCGACACCGCTATACATAGTCTGACGAGTAAAATCGAGAAGGCTTTAGACGGTAAGGAAATAGCTCTCTGCACATCGGTTGACATTACAGGAGCTTTTGATAATGCAACATTCAGATCAATTGAGGCAGGAATGGTCAGGAAAGGAATACATAGACTGATCATAACATGGATTCTCAATATGCTGAAAAATAGGACGATAATCTTTGAAATGGGGACGAAGAGATTAACTGTCAAGTCAACCAAAGGATGTCCTCAAGGAGGCGTTCTTTCGCCACTCTTATGGCTATTGGTCATTGACGAACTCCTACAGTCTCTTGGTGACCTCGGATATGAAGTTCAGGGCTTTGCAGATGATCTAGTCATCATGGTTAGAGGCAAATTTGACTCCACCATATCCGATCGTATGCAACTAGCTCTTGATATCACTCAAAATTGGTGTCAAGAGAAAGGACTCTCGATTAATCCGAATAAAACAAATGTAGTACCCTTCACCAGAAGAAGGAAGATGAGTCTAGGGACCTTAAAGTTAGGG